AACTAATCTTGCCTGAGACAGCAAATTTCAAAAGAACTACAGTAAATATGACTTTCTTTTTTTTTTTTTTTTTTTTGTCTTTTTCGTTTTTATCGGTACCAGGGATCGAACTCACAACTGCCTGCTTGCAAGGCAGGTGCTTATGCCGCTGAGCTAAATCCCCAGCCCTAAATATGACTTTCTAGACAGGAAAAAAGAAATATGATCAGTGGCTGAAAGGAGGCAGAAGACTACAGTTTTTGGAATTTCATCAAAAGCTCAAAACCAAACATGATATGTTGTGATAAAAGGCGAACTGAAACAAGCCAAGATGCATGATGCTCAGGGTAGATAATTAACCTACTTTAAACTTCTTATAAAAAGGATTTGCCAAAGATGGAAGAAAAAAGCCACAAGGTAAACAAAGACATAGAAAAACCTAATATTTTATGCACACTCCACATAACTGAATATAGTAACTGATACTAGCTTTTCAGCAATTACAAGTATCAGATCCCAAATCTTACTTTGTGAATACTAAGTGCCTAAGATTAAAACCAGTAACAGCTAGTTTCCCTTCCACTAACTCTACCTCTAATAATCATAAACACATTGACCTGTCAGTGACCTAACACCTTATTACCGTGCCTTAATGAGTTCATAATCTTACCACAGCATCACTTTAAAACATTAAACCAGGTGGGTGCAGCAGCACACACCTGTAATCCCAGCACCCTGAGAGGCTGAGGCAAAAGGATCACAAGTTTGAGTCCAGATCAGACAATTCAACAAGACCTTCATTCAAAATAAAAGATAAAAAGGGCCAGGGATGTGCCTCAGTGTGAAAGGTCTGGGCTGAATCCCCAGTCCCCAAAAACAAACAAATAAACAGCATTAAACCCCATGCTTATCCTGAAATTGAGTAAATTTTAAAACAAACAAGGCAATCATTTGTGGGAAAAACAAGGTAACACTGTATCTAGGGAATAAGCTCAATGTTTTTTTAAAGCCAAAGAAAATTCAATGAAATGAGTGATTTTTTTCACTTCTTTCTCAGATAATGTATTTTCTAGATTTTCTGTAATAAGAATGTATCATTTTTAATGTTCAAAATGCATTTTACCCAAATGCAAAAGACCAGGCTTCCATAAGATCTGTATAATATTTTCCTAAACATTCTCTCTCCTCAAACCTCAGCATGCGCAATCATTCCTTTAACCAATCATTTAGGTGACAGAGGAGTGCCCACTGTTGACTTTTTCTTCCCTCTCAAATTAATGTTTACAATAAAAGCAGCAAAAGTAAGATCAAGCAAGGCAACTGGTACTTGAATATTTCAATCACTGAAGCACTGTCTTATTAATAATAGAAGCTAATGAAATATTTTGTTATTAAAAGTCACTAACCTTCCCAATTTTTGGAACAGTAATTAAAGTGCTTCACTATTTAACAGTCTGACCCCGGAAGGGAGGACTGTAACTTCACTCCCTCCAATAAATCTGGTATTTTGAGGATCCCCTCCCCTTCTTGCTTTCTTCAGTGGTAAACTGAATTTAAGACAGAATTTACCCAGCACTCAGACTAGGGCAATACCAAATGGACAACAGTCACCTCTCCCTGCAGCTTCTTCAGTGAGATCACAAAGTGAAATCAAGGCCAGTCTGGGGGCTGGGGATTTAGCTCAGCGGCATAAGCGCCTTCCTTGCAAGCAGGCAGTCGTGAGTTCGATCCCTGGTACCGATAAAAATGAAAAAGACAAAAAATAAAAAAATAAAAAAAAGGCCAGTCTGAATTGCTCAGTGAAACCCTGTCTCAAAAAGACCAAAAAAAAAAAAAAGAAGCAGCAGCAGCAGCAGCAGTCTACCATGTACCTGGCTGGGTACTGCGTTAGGAACAAGCCCTTCAGCAGTACAACCTGCCAGACCTGCTCTCCAGCACCCACCTCGTGGCCTGGGGCTCAGGAACACCACATTCTAGTGGTCTCCACTAGAGGGTGGGCAGTCAGGTCAGTACTGCCCGCAAGCCAATTCCACTTCCCCTTCTGAAAAGCATCCAATCCCCTCTCTATCATGGTCTTCATCTGCCCAATCAGGGTTCCCACAAGTGAACAGAAAAACAACAGTGACTGGAGTAAGAGCTTCACATGAAGCCAACAAAACACAATACTGTCCCCTTACAAGCACCAAGAGGGACACCTGGATTAGCAGCAGGGTGCTGCTTTAAGGCCTCTACCTCCACTTCAAACCACAGCTCTACACACACACCATTCTGCCACCTAGCCCATTATTTCACAGCTAATATTAAACATCTGGTAGCCATTCAGGGCAAAACAGACACCATCTAGCCAAGTGGTGATGCCCACCTGGAACCCCATCCAGGAAGCTGAGCCAGGCGGGTCCCAAGTTTGGGGCCAATGTGGGCAACTCAGTGACTAAGTGAGACCCCATCTCAAAATAAACAAAAACAGGGCTGGGTTCAAGCCCGGGACTGCAGGGAGAAAGAAAAGTGACACTGAAAATGTACTACAGTCTCATGGACCAAAAAAGGCATGTCTAGAAGTACCCTGGTGAATTTATTCACTGTGATCTAAACACAGTGACTCATTTGGGTCAGGTTATAATATACAAAGTCAAGAGAAACAAATTTTAATAATTTTCACATGTAAGCAAAAGAAATGTGATCTTACAATACATACTATTTATATTAGAATTATTTTCCCCATTTAAGGTATGCTAAATCACCCTGTACCTTAACTGACAAATGAATAAATTATGTATACTTGGATATTTATAGAATAAAATTTTGACTCATTCTAAACGTTTTCACAGCTGCTGCCTGAGAAGGATCACTCTTTTCAAGCCCAGAACCTCTTCTTTCCCCTACACCTCACACTCACCCCTACTTAACTAGGCTCTCTTCTGGTTATCAGTAAAAGGAATCAAGCACTGTGGGAAATTCATTGTATGCAGCGTGGTCCTGATCAAACTGCAAAAATAAATGATAATCTTTCACCTAAAAGCCCTCACCATGTAATTATAGGTAAGAGAAACACAATAAATCTGAGATTACGAAAACGCTATGAAATTGCATGTAGCAGATGGACATGGGTAGGCGTATTTAGGTTAAGACGACCAGTTCAAGAGACCGGTACAAACTTGCCAGGCAAGGATGGGAAACCGGCTCTGACTCTAAACAGCACCTACCAAGGCAGAGGTAAATAGCTTTGCTTTCCTTGACTTTCAATTTTGAAATTCTCAAAAGGTGAATGGCAACTTTCTTTAGAGGATAAGACTGCAGATTACTTACACATATTTAGCACAGTTCTCTAGTGCATTAAAATTTATTAAAATATGATCATGGACGTATCCATTTTAACAGCAATTTTAGAACAATCTTATCTAGCCAGGCACATATGCGCATATAAGAAACCCTAGAATGACCAAAGTCTCACATCCTTGAGATCAGAATTACACTTAGTGTGTAACCTCAGCAAATCTCTCCGTGCTTCACTGTTCTCATTATTGGATATATGGATATATTTATTGTTCATTTTCACAGTCTTTCTCCCTCCACTAGTAAACACCATGAAAACACAGACTATTGATCACCACTGTCTCGCTGTCATTCAGAGGCCTTACTAGTAGGTGCTTAAATGTGTACCTGATACAGCTGAGTGAATGAACAGTCAGCGAAGATGAAGCCCTGGACTGACAATGAACTATGAACCCACAAAACGTGAGCTAGCATTCTGGCAGAATTAGCACTGTGTATCATGTTTTGAAATAAATATGATAACTGCCATATCTAAAAGTAACGAACCCAAACCACTCCTCAGAAATCGTTTTAACATAATCCTTTTAATAACGTTTTCCTAAAATGTAAATTGAAAGAACAATCGTCTATGTGGCGAAATAGATTCTTCACTGACTCCTTCCTCAATATGACTTTAATACTACAGATTTGAAGACCACTTGCTTCCAGCCACTTTTTACCATTCCGCCGCATTCAACAGAGAATCAACATGTTAAACATCGTCCGCTGATTCACCACTCCCTAAAAATACCTATGTAAAACATACCACTCCGATTCGGAAGACTGCTAGGGGATCTCCTACATGAAACCGGACGCAAAAAAAGAAAACTGAAAACTGTGGAAGTCTTTAATGACAACACCATACACACATGCTGCAAAGAACTTTTTTCCGTGATGACTCGTAAACTATGACCCCTGTCTATAGGCTCATAAAGGAACTAATAATAATTCGTCACATCATGTGCAAGGTTGCAATCCTTCCGAACAAACACGAATTTTAAACCCACCCATCCACCCTTTGGTTAATTCGGGACTTTTAAAGGGAAATTTAGTGTTCTTTTTTCAAGTCTTTTCAAAAGATCTAAATGAAACTTAACACAATCTCCCTCACGGTCTATCTCCGCACAGATACACTTCAAATTCATTCAGACCTAGTCTGGACATTAAGTAAACAAATGGCAGGGAAACGCCGCTTTCTCAGAAGTACCCTGGATTCCCAGGAACAAAACTGCCACCTGGACACACGCTGGGAAGTCAGAACCCGGAATGGAGAAAGCCTCCCCAGCACTTTTAAAGTTTGCACCTTCGCACCTCCGCGGTCTCCCCAGCCCCGGGCCGGGGGCTCTGCCTGGCGAGCAGGAGGTGGAGGAGGTGGAGGAAATGTGCACTTGGCTTCCGTCCGCTCGCCAGGCAACCGGGACCCTTCCTTCCCGCCGGTGGACCCCCGCCCTGCCCGGACACCTCCTGCTCGGCGGGCAGCCAGACGGAAACGCAGCCGCCGGGCCCGCGTCCTCACCTCCACTTCCCGCCCCGGCCCCGGCCCCGGCCCACCCGGGCCGCCCCTCACGGCCACGCGCCCGCCCCTCCCCCGCTGCCGCCGCCGCCGCCGCCCCCGAGCTAGGCCCAGCGGGCGGACAGCGCCGCGAGGGGCGGGGACGTGGCCGCCCGCCGCCCGCAGGGCCCGTGCCGCCCCCGCCCGCCGCACCTACCATGGTACAGATGGAGGCGAATTTGGAGACTGTCATTAGGATTTCCATCCGCCCAGCGCCATCTTCCACCCAATCACAGCGGCGGCGGCGGCGGCAGCGGCAGCGGCGGCGGCGGCGGCGGCGGGCGGGGGAGGAGCGCAGCCGGGCCGCCCGCTCGCACCGCACCCCGCGGGCGGACCCCGAGACGCCGCGGACCCACGCACCGAGCCTGCCGAGCCGCCGCGGCCGTGGTCCCCGCCGGCGCTCCGGCACTCCCGGCCTCGGGCCCTAGCCCCCGCCTGCCGGCCGCCTTGCCGCCCGCCCCCGGCTCCGCCCCGGCGCAGGGCGCAGCCGCTGCCTCGGGGCCCGCGCCTGCCCGCGAAGCCGCGCGCCGTACACCCCGCCCAGCGCGCTAGCGCGCAGGCTCCGCCAGGGCCTTAATGCCCGGCCTGCAGGGCGGTGGCGCAGGCCCCGCCCACCGCTCGCCACCGGCTTCCGCCCCTGGGGCGCCGGCCGCGCGTCCGGCCCCGCCCCAGCCTGAGTGATGCCCCGCCCACCTCGCGGAGCAGGAGCGCTAGGATTGCAGCCCGCTCCACCCACTTGGGGGCGGGGAGAAGGAGGGCTCCGCCTGCCTCCCCGCGGGCCGCGCGCGGTCCTAGAGCGGGACTACCACAGGGTAGTAGGGTCTGCGCCAGCGTTCCGGTTGCTGGAGACTAGTGCTTGGCAGCGACCTGGGTAAATGCTGGAGGGGCTAACCCTGCAGAGCCCTACCGCAGGCGAGGGACATAATACGGAGGCACGCGCTAGATAGTTTAACCCGTGTGCACCCCAGGGACTTGGCGTCTTCTTTTTTACATAATTTGGGTAAATAACCTGTGTCAGACTCCTTAGAAAAAGACTTAAGTAATGACGTGAAAATAAAGTAGCAAAAAACAAAGTAACTGGGGTTAAGAGAAAAAGTGATGGGCAGGGGAGAAAATGCAGCCTTCCTGCCTGCCTGTTTCACAAATTCAGAATATGTAGTCACAAAACAGAGCTGTCAGCCAAGGAGTGCGATGCCACCGGAGACAGCAGTAGTGAGCTCCTCCAGGGAAGTGTCCTGTGCGAAGAACTCGGTCAGCCTCAGCTAGTGGACGGGGAGCTGCTGTTTCCTGCTTTCCAAACTCGTCCATCCACCTTGTCCTTCGTGACTCGGGACTCGTAGCTCTGCTTTCCTTTTTTTGTTTGAGAAAGTACTTCGAGTGAGTAGAATAACTTCATAAACCAAAGCTGGCCAGGTTTAGTTGGTGAGGTGTTTTCCTGGATTTTCCTGATTTAATGAAGCTGAGAGCCTGAATTCAGACAAAGCTGTAAAATCAGGCATACCTCATCTTATAGGTCCAAACCATTCAACGAGCAAAGCATTCACATCAACACTGGGTGAAAAAATAGATTTCTGGTACATGAATGTTGTTTCCATAGTGATTCCATTATAAGCTTGGGGGTGGGGACACACGACACATTGATACTGCCACGTCTACTGCAGCTGCTTGGGCTCCAGACGCTTTCCTCCGTGGAAGATAGGGGTGCTCCATCCCCCCCCACCCCAAGCCTTTTTCAGCACCACCGTTCCAGTCTGAAATGCTTATATATGGGTTCGTGGGTTCACTCTTCTACCGACACATAAGAAAATTCTGTGGCCCAACAGAGGACCTAGTCCATTGGAGTAGGTGAATTTTCTTATGGAAAATGAGCTGAGAGGATGAAGAACCAATTGTGGTCAGCTCTAAGGAGGGTACAACTAGCTCTTCCCACAGGAGAGAAACCCTGAGATACCTGGAAAATAAGGATGAACAATGTATTGAGGAATCTGTGGTCTCCCAGCAGAGAGCTGCATGCCAGACTTTGATAGGAGAGTGACAGATGTGTCTACAGCTGTGATACGGGGCACGCTTCAGGGATTTCGTGGACATGAGTGTGATATGTCCAGGGACAGTCTGACACAGTGACCTCAGCAAAGGTTACGGTCTCTGGAATCTCCACTGTCATATTCACCAGCAGAAAGCAGAAGACTTTGCCTACCTTAAAACCTTTTTTTTTTTTTTTTACAGTATCCATCTAGAATACCAATCATGCAAATTGCAGTATTGAGATTAAACATGGAGAGAATTTTGAGGAGACATCACAGCAACAGATCTATTTTTGAATGGAAAATCTTGTCTTTGCTTAAACACAAACATGAACCACAAGGTACTTCCTTTGTGTTCCTAGCTCCTCCTTAAGCCAGGTTTATCTGAAGGAAATGAACAAGATTCTGATGAGGACAAAGCAATTGTTACATTTGTTCAGAGCAAGCTCAAAAATGGCCGATTATAAAGTGAGAAGCTAAAGACTTCAGATGTTCTCATTAGCCATCGCTCCGTGAGAGAGAGCCTACCGTAACTCACCGGAGACACTGCCAACTTTGGACATAAACATGAACTTTCTAGTGACTCAGTCAGCAAGGCAGGTCTGAATTCCCTTTACTTAGCTCTATATCTGCTGAGTGCCTCTGATATGTACAGACTTTATGGTAGTACCTAAGGAACCAGCATCCTGCCTTCAGATTTTTTATTTTTAGAGCTGAGGACGTAGCTCAGTGAGTGCCCACCTAGCTTGCCTGAGGCCTTGGGTCCAGTACCACCAAAAAAAGACAGACAAAGAAAGGAAAGGAGAGAAAGAAAGAGAGAGAGAAGAAGGAAGAAAGGAAGAAATTGCCTATTAGTTGAAATGGGATGACAGCTACAGCTTTGAAGGGCAGTGTACCTAACCTTGGGAGCAGGGGAGGCTCCTGAAAAGTTCAAGTTGTGTCATTAGTTGAGAGAAATTAAATTGTACAAGTGCCAGTTTTGTGATTTATACTATTATAAGGGTTCAGAGAAGACAGTGATCTTTCCTGTTTTTAGGTTATCAGAAATAGGACCTCGTACAGAGAGCGGGGGGAAGGGGAGGGCAGGGGTGAAAAAAGACTTAAGGTGTCTTATGGATGTGTGCCAACCCCCAGGAGTAATGTACTCATTATGTACTGTTAATATGTAGTAGTAGTACCAAAAAAAAGTTACCGCATACTGCAGAATCTCCTCTGCCCCCTCCCCTCTTCTCTCCTGGTTTTTTCCTCTTTCTCTTCTTTCCCAGCTCCTCTAGCTTTCTACCTTCATCTTTTCCCCTCTCCTCTCAACCACCATGTCCCCTCCTTGCTCCTCAAAAACCACCAGAGTACTGCACCTCTGAGCCTTTGCGCTGGCCACTCCTCCCTGGACAGCATGGTGGGCTGTTAGGGTTAGATGTCGAGCTACTTGTCACCTCCTTGGTGCCTGGCCCCTCCTCTCAGCGCATGAGGACCCGGCCTTGTCCATGTGTATAGCTCTGTCCCCAACACCTCTAAGAGTAAAATGTTCGATGACTAAGCTGAAGTTGATGGGCGCCTATGTTCTGTCCAATTCCAGAGCAAATAAAAACATTAAGTACAGTTGATACAGAGAGGCGTTTTTTCTTTTTTAAGCAGCATAATAAGTGCAGAAGCTTCTCAGGCACTAACAGATCCTCTGCCTGCTCCTCTGACTGTGTCAGGCTGGTTTTCCATTTTCTTAGCATTTGCTCAGCTCTAAGGAGAAAGTTCATCAAAAGAAGGAGAAGGAGGAGAAGGAGAAGGAGAAGGGGAAAGAGAAGGAGAAGGAGAAGGAAATCACAGCATTCTCTTGACAGCAAGCCCTAAGCACCTATGTCTGACTTCCCCAATCTCTCTCTCTCTTTTGCCTGCAGGGTTTTTCATAAGGAGACAGCGGCTTCTTTCATGCCACCTCTCCCTATTACTTCTCTGATTTTTTTTCCTTGGGGGAGGTAGTTGAGAGACAGAGTCTCACTTTGTAGTTCAGGCTGGCCTTGATTGAATTCATTATATGGTCCAGGCTGGCCTATAACTTACAGTGATCTTCCTGCCTCAGCCCCTTCAGTGCTGGGACTACAGACTACCAAACCCAATTGACCTCTGAGATTTCTCTAAGTGGTGTTCCAGTATGTTTCAGCAGAGTTTTAACCAGATGTTTAGGATTTATAGTGTAAAAGTTGGCATTAAATTATGGTATTATTGTCCTTTCATGTTTAGATTTGCAAGTCAGTATTTGTTATGGTTGGTGTCAGTTTGAAAAGTTTAGAAGTCTAAGAGAATGGGAATTTAGCTCAGTGACATAAGTGCCTGGCTGGCAAGTGTGAGGTTGTGAGTTCAATCCCTGGAACAAAAAAAAGAAGAAATTTAACTAAGAGACTCAGAAGGGAGCCAGGGTTCTTACTTTATAAATATCCTCATCCTGTGCAAGAGGAGGGCAAGGAGATTTTGTGAGTGCTACACCCGCCCTGGAGGGGAGGAGTGGCCAGTGTACAATATAAAGGAGGAAAAGAGGCTTGCTTCCCCTGCCTTTTTCTCTGGCTGCTACCTTCATGCTGGCCCTGTGCCATGCCACACTGCTTTGGAGCCTGCTGATTATGGCCTGAAACCTCCACACACAGTGAACTAAATAAACCTCTCCTTCCTTCATTTTGGGTGTTGGGTATTTTGTCTCAGCAACGAGAGAAAAATAACCAAGAGAGTATTCAAAAAACATCTCTCTGTCCTTCTTCAGCCTGTCTGGGACACTGAGCGAGGGACAGCACACATACCATTTTGGGGTTTTCCTAAAATGTTCCAGTTGCGTCTTCAGTTGTAAGAAATAAGCATAGCTTCCACTTCTCCTTTTTCTAAAAAATACTCTATTAAAACAGTCAAAGATAGAAATACTAAACAAAAGCAAAAATTCCCACATATATTTAACATAAAGAAACTTCTGCCAGATACACAGCAACTGAATGGTGATTTCCTGGAATCAAAATAGCGGTGTGTGAACTGGGAGGTAAGATAAAAAAACAGAGTTTTTATAGTATACTTCATTATACTTTTTGAGTCTGTAGCCATGCAACTATGTAACTTTTAAAAATTAAATAGCTTGATTATTTTTTAAAACAGACACATTTATGTTTTGGTTTGTTTTACTTGCAGTACTGATGATATAAGGGAATGAAACTCCCAATCTATTAGATGTCTGGTGTGAGTTCCTGTTCTCTAAAATCAAAGGATGAATTTTAGGAGCAACGGAGGTTAACAGGAGAATATAATTATTGTCTAGTAGAGAAACAGAAGGGGTCTCCAGTGGGTTGTCAAAGACT